AAAAACCGCATTTCACAAAATACGGAAATGTGCGTATTATGAACGTATATGATTATATATATAAGTCATTACAAGACTACTTAAAGGTAATTCTGGCGGTATGTAGAAATAATTGAATAGTAAGTGATTGCGTAAGTTTTGCTGGGATATTATAAACATAAAATTCAAACCCTAGCAAAGTATATGTAAACGGCTATTTTTAATTGAATGTAAAGAATCCATATGTTAGTATATTTTTTTCGTAATTTAAAATTTTAAGAGAAAAATTGCACCTTGTGACAAGTCAAAACTAAAATTTTTAACAAATTCTAATACAGATATAACACCGAATGGTTTTTCGACTTTAGCACTTTCATACAATTTACCAGGCACGGAAAATTTAGTACTTTAGTACTTTTTACAGTACTTTTTGATACCGCTGTATCCCCACGACATTTCGGTAATTTCTCTAACTTATAAACGTTTGATAAAAAGTCCACGTAGTAGTCAATGGACTAATCTATAGTGTAGTCGATAGTCTAATCACTAGTCTAGTCTAGTCTATAGTCTAGTCTAGTCTAGTCTATAGTCTAGTCTATAGTCTAGTCTATAGTCTAGTCTATAGTCTAGTCTATAGTCTAGTCTATAGTCTAGTCTATAGTCTAGTCTATAGTCTAGTCTATAGTCTAGTCTATAGTCTAGTCTATAGTCTAGTCTATAGTCTAGTCTATAGTCTAGTCATAGTCTAGTATATAGTCTAGTCTATAGTCTAGTCTATAGTCTAGCTATAGTCTAGTCTATAGTTAGTCTATAGTTAGTCTATAGTCTAGTCTATAGTCTAGTATATAGTCTGTCATAGTCTAGTTCATAGTCTAGTCTATAGTCTAGTCTATATAGTCTAGTCTATAGTCTAGTCTATAGTCTAGTCTATAGTCTAGTATATAGTTAGTCTATAGTCTAGTCTAAGTCTGTCTAGTATCGTCTATAGGTCTAGTCTATAGTCTAGTCTATAGTCTAGTCTATAGTCTGTCTATAATCTAGTCTATAGTCAGTCATATAGTACTAGTCTATAGTAATAGTCTATAGTATAGTCTATAGTCTAGTATATAGTTATTCTATAGTATAGGCTATCTCTAGTCTATAGTCTAGTCTATAGTCTAGTCTATTAGTCTAGTCTATAGTCTAGTCTATAGTCTAGTCTATAGTCTAGTCTATAGTCTAGTCATAGTCTAGTCTATAGTCTAGTCTATAGTCTAGTCTATAGTCTAGTCTATAGTCTAGTCTATAGTCTAGTCTATAGTCTAGTCTATAGTCTAGTCTATAGTCTAGTCTATAGTCTAGTCTATAGTCTAGTCTATAGTCTAGTCTATAGTCTAGTCTATAGTCTAGTCTTAGTCTAGTCTATAGTCTAGTCTAGTAGTCTAGTCTATAGTCTAGTCTATAGTCTAGTCTATAGTCTAGTCTATAGTCTAGTCTATAGTCTAGTCTATAGTCTAGTCTATAGTCTAGTCTATAGTCTACTCTATAGTCTAGTCTAGTCTACTCTAGTCTATAGTCTAGTCTATAGTCTAGTCTATAGTCTAGTCTATAGTCTAGTCTATAGTCTAGTCTATAGTCTCGTCTATAGTCTAGTCTATAGTCTAGTCTATAGTCTAGTCTATAGTCTAGTCTATAGTCTAGTCTATGGTATATTCTATAGTCTAGTCTATAGTCTAGTCTATAGTTTATTTTATAGTCTAGTTTATAGTCTAGTCTATAGTCTAGTCTATAGTCTAGTCTATAGTCTAGTCTATAGTCTAGTCTATAGTCTAGTCTATAGTCTAGTCTATAGTCTAGTCTATAGTCTAGTCTATAGTCTAGTCTATAGTCTAGTCTATAGTCTAGTCTATAGTCTAGTCTATAGTCTATTCTATAGTCTATTCTATAGTCTAGTCTATAGTCTAGTCTATAGTCTAGTCTATAGTCTAGTCTATAGTCTAGTGTATAGTCTAGTCTATAGTCTAGTCTATAGTCTAGTCTATAGTCTAGTCTATAGTCTAGTCTATAGTCTAGTCTATAGTCTAGTCTATATTCTAGTCTATAGTCTAGTCTATAGCCTAGTCTATAGTCTAGTCTATAGTCTAGTCTATATTCTAGTCTATAGTCTAGTCTATAGTCTAGTCTATAGTCTAGTCTACAGTCTAGTCTATAGTCTAGTCTATAGTCTAGTCTATAGACTAGTCTATAATATATGCTATAGTCTTGTCTATAAAGTAGTCTATAATCTAGTCTATAGTATATGCTATTGTCTGTCTATGTCGCCTAGCTGAAAATTAGTTTAGTACTTTAGAACCTAAAAAAGAACTCTTCTTGTTATAAGTTAGTACTATTCTACGAGTTCAATTTTCCATGCCTGCTATTTACACAAAAAGAATCCTTTTCCACTTCTCAACACACAATTTTTTTGGCTAAAGATTCATTATTGTGAGTATATGTACGTATGTATGTTTTTATACCCTACACCACTATAGTGGGTATGGTATTATGCGTTTGTCTGCTGTATGTAACACTCAAAAATATTGGTTTGGTATACCTTAAAGTAAACCAATCGGCTAAGAATCACTTTATCAGGTCCATATTAATCCAACATAAACCTTCATTAAAAAATTCCTTTTTTTGTTAACAAACTGTTGAAATATTTCAGACTATAGGTAAAAATTAAATTAAATTTTTTATTATAAAAAATCAACATATTTTACATAATCACTGGGTGTAGGGTATCATATGGTCGGCCATACCCGACTATAAGTTCTTACTTGTTTTAAAAGTGTAGCTGTGTGTGATTTTTTTTTTCTGTGGTGAAAATAAAAAGAAAACAATTCCCATAAATAGGACTTATATATATATATATTGTATGCGTATTTCCTTTTAAATTTTTTTCATCTTCTCTTATATATTTCATATATTTTGTAAAGGAAATACTTTTTTTGGCATGACTTAAGGCAACATAAGAACAGCCAGATAAAAAATAAAATCCATAAAAAAATATTGTTTACATTATTTTAAAGCAGCTTAGTTGGTGCAATAATGAATAAAATGAAATGAACCGAAGGAGACAGAGATGTGTTATAAATATTTTATTAAATACTGAAAAGGAAAAAAAATCTAAAAGCTTTGTGGAATTTTAATATTTATAAGTGCTTTAGTAGGAATATTATGAATTTTAAAATATTAATTTTAACAATGATTTATCAAATGCATGTGTAATAGAAAACAAAACGTGTTTTAGCAAATTAGAAACGATGCTATTTTGTATAAAAAATTCTAAATTAATTGCTAATTTTTTGTTAAAAAACATCAATACATTGCCAGAAATAAATGCTGTAAGTACATTCCCATCAAAAACTTAAATAACCATAAATGTCTAACTTATGACTTATTAAAATTATTTATTTGCTTTATAGGTTCAATTAATGGCTTTCGCTATGTACCAACTGAATTAGTTTGCAAATCATTTAGAAAACTATTTAAACATTAAAGCTTACACTGATAAATGTATGAACATAATGTACAACCATGCATCATTAATTTTACGATTTATTTAAAAAAAAATTAAAAAAGAAAAAGTATATTATAAAAAAAATGTTTTATTGAATGATTAACCGATATAAATAGAAAAAAAAAGTCTCCTAAAATTTGAGTTTATTTCAGTAAAAGAGTAATTCCAAATTGCATCGGTCAAAAAGTGAAAGAACTAATCTTATTTTGCTGGCCCACCAAAGCATGTAGCAGAGGGATGGAAAATAAGATTTTCTTTCAGCATAAAAATTATTAACAGAGTGTACTTTTTTGAGCTACTAAAATAATTTTTTATCTGCAAAAGAATCCTTTACGAAATGTCTTTAATATGAACTATTAGTTACCAAAATCAATTTGTTATAGACGATTTACTTTACATATGTAAATGTTCAATAGCAGTGACATCCTGCGATCCAACCTTTAAAGACCCTTTGAGAAATTTGTACTACTTCCAAAACCAAAAAGAGGAAATTTAAAATGAAATAATGTCTATAGTGTAGTTTGTATTAGTGTAATCGTAACCTTAAATACTAACTGAATAGATTTTGAAAAAGAGACAAGTACATTTTGGTAAAATTATATAATATTTAATAACACTAGTCTGCAATAGTCTCTTTTAAGAAAAATTATAACAGAATTGAAGATATTAATATATAATATAGAAAAGCTACATACATCACCGACCTATTATATTATTTCCAACATATATTATTTTTATATCGTTATATTTATTACATTTAAGGTTATACACCTGCAAAAATTCCAGACCAATTCCATCTAAAAGCTATAAGCACTAAAAGTTGAAAATTTTGAAAAAAAAAGAAATCGTAAATTTGTATATTTTTTGATTGCAAAAAAAAATCCTATAAAAATCCAAAATAATATAAATTTTTCTTTAATAAATGAAGCGATATATACCGGTAGTTCACTTAACGATAAAAAAATTGCAAAAAAATCATTATCAGTATCAGAATCGCGGCTAAAGTTCAAATTATTAATAATGGATATTGCGTAAAAATAGAAGTGCTAGCAATATTAAAAAACCACATTCAACAGCACTGGAGCTATCATAATCATGCACTAAAATTCAATTTCGATAAATAATTCCATGTAAACTTTGGAAAAAAATTCGAAAATTTAAAAATTTTTTAATACTTACATATACATGTTTGATATAAATTCGAAAGCGCATTTTCAAGAGCTTTAAAAAATATGAAAATCTCAAAATAGTACATTTTTGTCATGTGATCCAGCTCATTGAATATTGACGACAGGAGAAAAAGTTTGAGAATCGCTATCTTAGAACAAACTGAATTTTCATTTTCGCCGGGAACATCAGCAACTTCCATTTTTATCGAAAGTTCAAATTAGTACTTACGTTTAATATTATCCTTCTTTAAAATAACGTTTTTTTACTTTTTACAAAATTTTCAAATACTTATATGTAATTTATAATTGTAGCCTAAAATGGAATTACATTAAAATTTTATCATTACATGAATGCAAAAATCTTTCCTTGGTCATCTAAAGAGAACAACAAATATACCATTCGTTGATAAATCTGTAGGCACTCACAAAACTAATAGCATATCTTTTACATCAAATGAAGAAACAGGGCAGTTTGGTACAATTCTGTTATAACCGAAATATTCATAGATCTCTGCAAAGATAAAAAGGAGATACATTTATTCTGTTTCTGTAGTGGTGAGTGCAAATTTTACTTCCTTTAGGGATTCTCAACTTTTTGTAGTACTAGCAAACTTAGTGTCAACATATTCTTTTACTCCTCTTTCCGATTTATAAAGTTTCCAATTGTTAATCTTTGATTTTTAACAAGTTTAATTCATTCCAGTATGACGTAAAGTCTCAGCAGCTTGATCTGAAAAAACAAAAAAAAAAAAAAAAACATATTAGAAAGAAATTAAAAGCAGATGTAGGTTTCTTATATTCATAACTTCAATTCTATAATAATTTTTCGTAAAAGAGGATTTCATTGCAGACAAGTGTTATTATACTCTTCACCTCTTGAGCATGGTTTGGTTTGTTATTCCCTTTGTAATTTCTACAATATAGTTTTCCGATATATACTACATATTATATATATTCTGGATCCTTATAAATAACAGAGTCGATTAAGCCATGTCCGTCTGTCTGTTCATCTATCTATCTATCTGTCCGTCCGTCTGTCTGTCTGTCTGTCTGTCTGTCTGTCTGTCTGTCTGTCTTCGGAGTCAAAATCTTCAACAATTCCATCAGACACGCTTTTGGGAAGTTTCCTATTTGCAATCTGCTAAATACCTCCATAAATAACGGAAATATGAGCAAAAATCCGAAACCGTCTCTGAAAATTTCATTAAAAAAAGACAACTGTTTGCTTGCTTTGAGATAAAAGCAACAACAATATTACTTATTGGAAAAAAACGTATGTTTGGACATGTGTTGGTTTTAATGATTTGCGTATTTTGTGTTTTGGTGTTTTGTTTCGTTTTGCGTTACTTGTTGTTGTTTTTTTGTTTTGTTTTTTATTGTGAAGTGTATATAAGATTCAACATAGGCTAATATAGACTTTTTACTTGTTTTTAGCTTATATTACAAATATTTTTATGATTTGAATTTAGTCCACAAAAGAATCAAATAATAAATCGATTTTATTATTAAATGTATATTTAGGTCATTACCTTCTAAATGATGTTTTTTAAGTAAAATAGAATAATAGTAACAACGATAGAATCAATATTAAAATTCATCTTCATACGTTCATTGTATATATATATTCCCTATATATACAATGGGAAAATAAGCTATATATTTTAATACCTACATACGTACGCCAAAGATTTAGGAAATATTATTTCTGCAAGCTATATTTGTCCTTTGTCGCAAGATTTTCTGTTTGCTTTAGATTTTGTGATATTAAAATATCTGTTTAGTTTGTTCCTTTGTTATTTTCTAAAAATTGTCTGTTGTTGACGTTCTTTTCCATTTGGATTTTCTTTAGCGTAATAGATTTCAATTGGATGTACAAAATTTCATTTTTTTTTTTGTTATTTTTAATACAATATTATTATTTTTTAGGCACACTTCATGATTTTTTTGCACAGAATTGATTTATTTATAGTGATGACGATATCACTTTTTTATAATACTAATGAGTTTTAATGGATTATTATTGACATCAGATTTATATTAGATAGATATTAGATACAGTATTATAAAAACTTACAAATTTAAGATCTAATGAAATATTAAAACAAAATTTCATCTCAATGTATTTTTGATGAAAAATGTGAGTGATCTACGATTTTCACTATTATATCAATAGATCAATAGTGGTCTACTGCCAGTTTTAAGAGTTTTATACAAACATTGATTTCTAATTGCACATATAAATTATTTTAAATTTTACACATAAACGTTTAAATTAAATTTAATTCCAACTTGTTCCTTTACTTTATATCCATGTTTAAAAATTATAAATTTTGCAACATTATGACAAATTTCACAAAATTTTAATTAAAAACTTTAAGTGTAGGAGTAATAATTTTATACACATATGAGTATATGTTAAGTTCAAGTATCATTCTTGTCAATTTTAATTACTCTTACACATACACATATCCTTATTTATACAGACACATGCTGGGAAAATAAAATTACAGATATACATATGTAAGTGTGCACATAATAACATACTGTTACTAGCAAAGATAAAAAATTATAGTTAGAAGCGTTGTAAACATTTGTAGATCCTTTACAACTTTTATTGCTTTTTAAGTCACACATACATACATAAATACTTATTTATGCAGTAAATATCACAAACTTTTGATTACAGTCAAATAATTGAAACCTAAACATTATGTTTTGAAAATAATGTAATATATTTTCATATCCTGACAATAAACTAATTACTCTGGTATGTAAATATTTTAAAAATTTTTATATTTTTTGGATTTCTATAGGAACTGTTTGCTGCTAAGATATAGTTTATATAAATATTTAGGTAATTTTTTCATTTTTAACTTTGCTCCAGATTGAACCAAACATGGGTCTTTAATATGTTAAAGATTGGAACCTACATATATACAATGGAGTGTCCCGAGAAACAGGCTTTTTAAAATCACTTGTAGGAATACCTCTTAATCCATGCGTATTAATATAATGAACACGAGAATATGAAATGAAAAGATCCAAGGAACTACCAGCTATTGAAAATCATGATCTCAGTACAATATGTTAAAACAATTTCTGCAATCTTTTCGAAATAGGTTTCAAAATTTCATAATTTTGGAATTTTTTAATTATTTTGCAATAATTGCATAAAAAGTCGTTTTGCGCAGCAAAAATACTTAATTTTAACTATTTTTCAAAATATTTACTAAAATAATATCTTATATCTCACACTACGTATGAGTAATAAAACAACAATCATACGTATTATACTATTTATACCCTACACCACTTTAGTGGGGAGGATATATTGGGTTTCTGCTGATGGTTGTAACGCACAATAATATTGGTCATATACATAAAGTATACCAATCGGCTTTGGATCATTTTCTGAGTCGATTTTGCTATGTCCGTCCGTCCATGTAAATATTGTAATCAAACTACAGGTCGCAATTTTAAAGATAATTCAATGAAATTTGGCACATGATTTTCTATGGTACAGGAGACAAAGCTTATTGAAAATGGTTAACATCGGTCCATTATCTCACCTAGCCCCCATACAACTGAACCCCGAATAGGGCTTGTAAACCTTGTAATGAAACAGTTCGCAATTTTGAAGATAATTCAATGAAATTTAGCACATGATTTTCTATGCTTCCGAAGACGAAGTCTATAGAAAATGGCTAACATAGGTTCATTATTTCACTCAGCCCTCATACAACTGAACCCGACGAATACAACTTTTAAGTTCATTATTATGTTTAATATACTTGTATCTCGACAAAAAGCTGCAAAGCCAAGTTCTATACTAGCCTTGATGACCCCCCATGAATTTTATAGTTATAGAGTCTCATTTGAGAATAGTCTCTAGTAAAAGCCCCCTTCAAAATTTGACTTAAATGTCCACAATTTTATTCAACAATAGATGGTTTAAGTATATCTGAGGCAAGGTACAAATCAACTTAAATGCTTTATAATGAAAACTAAATCACATTTTATTTTTGTAACAGGTATAGGGTATTGTATGGTTGGCCTCGCCCGACTATTATTTATTACATATTTTATTGAAGTACTTGTTAAAACAGCGAAATGCTGAGTGTAAAAAAGTAGTTCTCTGACTGACTTTTGTTTGTTTTTTATACATGTGTGAACATACATACGATTGAAAACAGAGTTCCAGAGAGCTCATTTGAGAGATCGTTGCGCCTCCATCTTAAAATTTTAATCTTAATTCAAAAATTTTGCTAAAAAAATTAAAACAATAATACATTTTTTATATTTCCTTTTATTTTAAAAACTTAATTCATTTTAATTTCCGCTGTTTGCTTTTAATGCAAATTGACGTAATACATTTAAATTTTTACATTAATTCCAGTACTTGTGGCTATGAAAGTCCTGCTACTTATGTTGTTGCCTTTACACTGCTTTTGCTCACAATTACATTAGTTGTGTAAATAAAGTGTTTTTTGTAGGTCCTACTCCAGCCCTAACGAACCATTAATAATAATAATAACAGCAACAATAAGAACAAAAGTAAATAAGCAAATATTAGCAGTTTTAAAACCTTGCTACTCAGTTTATTTCATGCTCGCAAAGTGTTTTCAGTTAAAAAGAAAAACTTTACAAAAGCTTTAAATTAAAATGCAAATATGTTTTTTTTTTACTTTTGAGGTTGAAACTAGAAGCATAACTTTAACTTTTTTAAAAAAAGGAAAGTAAAAGCCCTAAACTGGCACGTTTTTAGTATATTGAATTGATTTTTTATACAATACAATGACCTTAACCGTAAATAATTTTGTGGTACATAAAAGGTGTAAGCTAACTCGTTTTCTTAACCAAATAAAAACAGGTGGAAAATGAATTCAATCGTGATGCTGAAATATTTAAATTTTTGAATTTGTTTTAGTGGCCTCCGGTAGGTTAGTGTTCTAGTCTGGTAGGCCGGAGGTGGTGGGTTCGATTCCCACCTGAGGCACTGGTTAAGGAGCGCAAAACAGTCCCGATAGGGGCCAAGGTGTAGGTTGATGTATAGACAGCCGCCGGCAAACGAACGAACGAACGAACGAAAGAACGAACGAACGAACGAACGAACGACAACGAACGAACGAACGAACGAACGAACGAAACGAACGAACGAACGAACGAACGAACGAACGAAACGAACGAACGAACGAACGAAACGAACGAACGAACGAACGAACGAACGAAAAAGAACGAACGAACGAACGAACGAACGAAAGAACGAACGAACGAAAACGAACGAACGAACGAACGAACGAACGAACGAACGAAACGAACGAACGAACGAACGAACGAACGAACGAACGAACGAACGAACGAACGAACGAAGACGAACAACGAACGAACGAACGAACGAACGAACGAACGAAACGAACGAACGAACGAACGAAACGAACGAACGAACGAACGAACGAACGAACGAACGAACGAACGAAAACGAACGAAAAAACGAACGAACGAACGAAACGAACGAAAACGAACGAACGAACGAACGAACGAACGAACGAACGAAACGAACGAACGAACGAACGAACGAACGAACGAACGAACGAACAAACGAACGAACGAACGAACGAACGAACGAACGAAACGAAACGAACGAACGAACGAACGAACGAACGAACGAACGAACGAAGAAAACGAACGAACGAACGAACGAACGAACGAAAACGAACGAACGAACGAACG